TCCACTGATCTATACCTCCAACCCTCAGCTACTTTTTATAGGAATAAACAGACAAAAGGAACCACCCAGATCCTTCTTACACTCAGGCTGTGGAAACAGAAGATGGGGTCTCATCTCTACCCACCCGAGGAGAAGAAGAAGGTGAAGCCAGCCTGGAGAAGGAACTCAGGAGCTCTGCCGTGACACAGGCCTGCCCGAAGACCTTCAGACTTTCCAGGGTTTTTTTTTTTTTTTTGGTTTTTTTTTTTTAACCACACAGGATGTGGGGCTGTATCTGACTCAGGAGGCTCAGGAGGAAGTGCTAGTCTCTGAGGCAGGTCTGTTGCTCCATCACAGGTGTAAGGCAACTGTGGCCTTGATCTGGTGTTGCACATACCTGCGAGGAAGAACCATCATTTTACAGAGCAGCTGTGCAGCAGCTCGTATTATTTGGTCATCCTCCCTTCCACCCTCCCCTGCACCTGGTCCAGCAGAGGCTAGACTATATCTCTTTTGCAGTGCTCGCTCCGGTCCAGGGCTTTTTACTGGAAATGTTGGCATCCCTCTCCCTGACCATCCAACAAGGTGAGCATAGTGTCCAGTCCCCTCGCCCCATTTTTTCCTCTACAGTGTAGAACAGTGGTGATGTCCTATTACTCACCTACTGGAACAAGCTCTTTTTTTTTTTTTTTAAAGATTTTATTTATTTATTATGTATACAACATTCTGCTTTTTTCTATATCTTCACACCAGAAGAGGGCACCAGATCTCATAACAGATGGTGTGAGCCACCACGTGGTTGCTGGGAATTGAACTCAGGACCTCTGGAAGAGCAGTCAGTGCTCTTAACCTCTGAGCCATCTCTCCAGCCCCCTGTAACAACCTTAAATGTGAAAATTTCTTCATGAAGCCGGGGTTGTTGGTGGCACATTCCTTCAATCCCAGGACTCAGGAGGCACAGGCAGGTAGATAGATCTCTGTGAGTTCGAGGCCAGCCTGGTCTACAGAGTGAGTTTCAGGAGAGCCTCCAAAGCCACAGAGAAATCCTGTCTCCAGAAAAAAAAGGAGGGGAATACCAACAACTAACACTCCAATGATTTTTGAGATTTCCTCCAATTTTACAGATGTTAAAAGAAAAGAAAAAAACAAAAATATGCATTTAAATACAGAAGAAAGCCACTCTGATCACATTCAATTGAAGCAGGACAAAAAGCAACCAGAAGGGAATGCCCACTTATCGAGTAACATTCATGCCTGTCCTCTCTTTTTACCAGTGGTCCCATCTAGCCCAGCCAGTTCCCAAGGCCTCTGAAGGATACCATTCCCACAAGTCCTCCCTCATGCATAATTATCTTTTACCTCTACAGGCTCAACTCCATTGCCCACACCTATGAAATTATATAAGAATTGCTTCCTCTTCATCCTTGTCTATTCCAGAAGTCTCCTACCTTGGCTTCCAAAGTGCTGGTTCTGCAAGCCATCACACTAAAATTTCATTTCTTTTTATTTGTTTTGTTTTGTTGTTGTTTGGGTTTTTTGTTTGTTTGTTTGTTTGTTTGTTTGAGACAGGGTTTCTCTGTGGCTTTGGAGGAGGCTGTCCTGGAGCTAGCTCTTATAGACCAGGCTGGTCTCAAACTCATAGAGATCCACTTGCTTCTGCCTAGGATTAAAGGCCTGTGCCACCACCACCCACCTCCAATTTCGCTTCTTTACTTTGCTGCCTGCTCTTACCACTTCATCCTTTTCTCAGTTGATCACACTGAGAGCCAATAAGCATGCCAGTCCTCTAGGCCTGCTACTCCATCTAAATAGGCAAGGGTTAGGGTCTCCATCAGTGTCCAGTCCTTAGCTGGGTTCCTTCTCAGCAGCTTTCACTGGCTCTTTTACAGTCAGCTGAGATGCCTCAAGGAACTGCCTGGAGGAACAGTCCACTGATTGCCACAGGGGCCATCTCTCAATTCATAACTTGAATTACTTTCTCTTACTTCAATAACTATTCTTCTCAGTTCTGACCTTCCCCTGAAGGAGAGGCGAGAAGTTCTCCTTGTTTTTCCAGGTGGATTTGGCTAAAATACCCAGGAACATATAGCACAAATAGTAAAAGCCAAGAGACAGATATTGGGGTTAAAGCTGAAGACCGGAGAAGCAAAGTGGCCAGCCACTAGAGAGTTCTCACCTCTACCAAACGGGCTCAGACCAAACGGGCAATGCTGTTCTCAGACTTCATCTGTCTCTACCAAACCTCAGACTCCACTGAGCTCCTGTCTTCTCCTGCCTTATATTCCTCTCTAGCACTGGGATTAAGGTGTGAGATCCTAAGTGCTGAGATCACCTTTGAGTGAGCTCTGTTTCTCTTAGATTGGTTCAGTTCCGTGTAGCTCAGGGTGGCCTTGAGCTAACAGAGATCCATCTGCGTCTGTCTCCCGAATGCTAGGATTAAAGGTGTGTGCCACCACTTTCTGGCCTCTGTGGCTAACTAGTGTGGCTGTTGGGATTAAAGGTGTGTGCCACCACTGCCTGGTCTCCATGGCAGTGGCTAACTTTGCACTCTGATCTTCAGGCAAGCTTTATTTATTAGATCATAAGCAAAACATCACCACAGGAACCCAAATTGCCTTTCATTATTGACTTTCTCTCATCCAATGATCCTGAAAGAAATGCCTTCTAGTAATTTCTCCTTGCTCTCTTATGCAAGAGATTTATTGTGTGGGGTGTGTATGAAAGGGACAAGGTGGGGGGGGAGAGGAAGAAAGAGGGAGAGAGACAGAGAGATGGGGTATGATGACAGGGACCTTTTAAAGGGTACGTATGTGGCAGCTGGTGATGATGGGCTGGGGTTGGGGGTGGGAACCTGGTTTCTAACACCTTTCTTGGCCCAAAGCACGGTCCACTCTTACACAGGCTAGTGCAGTAGCTTCCTGACTGGCTTCTTCCTTCCTATTTATTTATTTATTATTTTTACTTATGTGCATGTGTGTGCCTGAATGAGTTCATGTGCACCCCATGTGTACAGATTCCACAGAGAACTAGACTTACAGATGGTAGTGAGCTATCTGACATGTGTACTGGCAATTAACCCAGGATCCTCTGCAAGAATAGTAAGTGCTCTTTAACACACACACCCAGCCACCCCTCCTTGGTTTTGCTATGCAGTTTAAACTGGCCATGAGTTCTCAATACTCTTGCCTAATCTTCTTGAATGCTGGGTATCACAAACATTTTCATCCCCAGCTCTACACCTTCTTAGGTCATTGATGAAACTGTGTGACACACCCCTGTGTCCCCACTTGTACCTCACTCAGTCTCCCATCAGGACTATGAAGCACTTGAAAGAAGCTGTGCTCCTCATCTCTCCATCCTCATCTTACAACAGTGTCTGGAATACTGCAGGTACTCAGAACACATTTGATGGATGACTGACAGGATTTTCCTTGTTGACAGGCTGACTTTTTCTCAATTTCCCCAAGGCTCACTGAAGCTTGTTCTTTTTTTTTTTTTTTTTAATTAGTTCAAATTAGGAACAAGCTTACTTCACATGTTGGCCGGGCCTAGGCCCTCCCCCATGTGTCCAGGCCTAGAGTGCATCCCTTCATGTGGGATGGGCTCTCAAAAGTCTCTTCTTACACCAGAGAAAAATACAAATCCACTACCAGGGGCACCCTAGAGTGTGGAGCCTCCTAATTGACATCCATGTTCAGGGGTCTGAAACAGTCCTGCACTGGCCTCCCAGACAGCAGTCTGGGGTCCATGTGCTCCCTCTTGTTCA